TTCCCTGTGTCGGGTTGAGTAACCTGGCGTTGGAGGTAGCTCTGAGCAGGGGTTGGGCCATGTGACCTGCTGGGATCCTTTCCAAACTAAATTATTCCTCGATTCTGTGAAACTGTTTGGAAACAAGGGTGACAGTTCTGGGTCTGACACGTGGCACCGAGTCTGACGGCTCCATGTTCCCAGAAACCCATCGGTGGCCAGGCTGGCAGAGGGCTGCAGAAAGGCTCCAAGAGGAGCTGCGTGGACTTTGAGGAGCATGGCTGGTGACTGGCACTGCAAGGACTTTGAAACCTTGGACTTCCTGAACTGTGGGAGCTGAAAGCGAACTGTGAGGCTCTACAAAGGTGCAAGTGCTTACGCATTAGCAAGGAAGATGATTTTTCTTGGTCAGTTTGTAAAGAAGCTCCAGACAGTAAGATCTGAATTCTACTTTAGATGGGAAAGCAGGACATTGCTTGAGACTTGATCTCCAAAAGCAGGCAGGAACAACCTGCAGAATACCAACCTAGCTGCTGAGGATCTTCTGTTCAACATGTATACCCATCCCCTCACAGACCTGTTTGCAGCTGGGCTAACAAGATGCAACCCTGCACATAAGCATATGGCATTGTGGAAGGGTCATTTCAAATACAATAAGGTTGGCAAGAGGGAGTCAGGAAGTTCAAATAAAACGATAACGTGATGAAAGTCTCTGAAAACAGGACTGCTGCAAGTCCTTAAGTGGGAAAAATACAGTGATGTTGAAGCTGTTACAGGTTGCTGCTGCCAGAAGACACTGATGTGTTCCTTATTGCTACTCTCTGAAGCAGACAACACTGAATGGAACAAATTTTTGGGGAGTAAACACAGATGGTCGGGGACGGATCAGTGTTGTGATGCAGAGGAGTTCCTGAAATGGCGCTGTGGGACTGTTCTTTCACCAGCTCCACATGATTCATTTGCTGGTTCAACAGGTCACATTGATCTTCATGTGTCTCAACCTCAGCCGGTCACTTTCTGGCTTGTGCATTATCAACAGGAGTACAATTTTGCAATGGGATCTTAATTTCTCAATTCTGTTGATGTGAGAGCCAAAATCTATGCTGTTAGTCAGTTGCATTAACTCTGCAAGGCCAACAAAAATGAGGAAAAGTGTAAATAAACTAATAAGAACAGATAAGAGAGTAGATGTGTCCTGTTTCTAGTTCTTTTGCTGATTAAAATTACAATTTTTGGAATGAATAGCATGCCTGAAGCAGAAAATGTTGTGCGAGCTCAACAGTGTTTCCTAGAAGTTGCCATTAGCCGCTGCAATTAGAGAAGGAAAACACCTCCTTACCCTGTAGAAGAATGTTGTGTCTACTATTGGCATGCAGCATCTCAAGACAAGAGTATAAAATGTTTGCTTTAGCTACCTGCAGTAAAGCAGTTTGACTGGTCTGTCCAGCAAAATGTTCTTCTCTTCCTGGAACCAAGAGGCAGGTACCCCTCCAGCTTGTTGCCTCTGCAGATGAATTTTAAGGAGATGGCCTGTTGGTACTTCTTAGAGCCTTTTGTGGAAATCATGAGGTGATATATTGTATGCTGAGTTGTGTTTGCTGAACTGTGCCCTCACATGATCAAAACCCTTTCAAAAGTTGGTGTGACTTCTTAGGAGAAAAAGGCAGCGTGGGCTCT